CCGGTGCCGGTGACGGACAGCGATTGACGCAGGTATTTGATCACATCGAAGATGTTCAGCAAACGGCTTGTGATCTCTTGGAAGTACCATCACAATCAATCGAAGAGCTTCAGCAAACAAGCGTCGCTAAGAAGCAGGATTCCGTTTTAGATAATTTTATGGATGAAAGAGTGTCTGTGGATGAGGACAAAGAGTACGTGAGAGAAGTAAGGGTAACTGTGGCTGCGAAGGTGGAAGAGTGTCGTTCTTTTGAAGAGGGTACGCGGATGCGAGAGTTGTTGAGCGATAGCGAAGGTGAATATCCATTTAAAGACTTAAAAGACGAAGACGCCTTATTTGGCCGCTTGACAAAATCTAATAGTTCCTATTCTTCACATAGTGCCCTTTTTCTTACTCAACTTTCATCAACCTTTCCTCTTGTAGAGGCATCGACAAATCAGCAGTCAGCAGACGCCCAATCGATTGAACGTTCTGTGGCGCTTGGAAAAGAAAGTTTTAAAATGCCTGCATTCGACGGTTATTGGGAAGGAAATCTAGAAGGAAGTCGAGCACGCATCAATGATGTTCATGAAATGATTGACGCGTATCCAGTTTCATCTGCTTTTGAAGCTAACCCTCTTTCCTCTCAAGATGGATCACACTCAGCGTCAAAAGGTCTATTAAACAGAAGCAGTAAAGGAATTCACTTTGACATTGAACAAGATGCTTTAATAGCCTGCGACGAATCAATGGTTGCAAAATCAACGCGACGCACACCTACTCCTAAGGAATCAACTCACGATAGTCACTTAGCATGTTCGAATCTTCCATTTTCTATAGACCATGGCCAACTTGACCAATATAAATTTCCCCCAGAGCATTTAGAAAGGAATCATCAGTCTGCTGCGGTGCTTACGGAAAAACAACTCGATACTAAAAAAACAGAATGTCTTGCCGAAAAAACTGAGTTCGCTCCGAAAAATTCTGCGCATCTAGTTGGATCTGTAGCTGAGGATGAGCAGCTCATTCGAGAAGACTTACGTCAAACGGCACATTTACAGAAAATAAGAAAAAATTCTTCAACAGACGAGCACTTCGTAATGGAACTTTCAAAGCGTACCATTACCACGGAACCAGCGCCAGAAATGGCTGAAGATGGAAGTCATGCTCGAGAAGAGCTAGATGTTCGTGTAGCCAAGAGATCTTCATATGGAATGGAGCTATCACAAAATCTTTCCACATCCGGATCAAGTCCTGCAGCAGTATTGACGGAAAGAACTCCCGCATCAGATCTTGCTGCAAACAGAGAGATGCTACCCCTTGTTTATCCAGGTGCCGAGGTCATTCAAGAAAAGGCTTCTAATGAGAAATCATTTAAGGAAAGGGCGGAACCTAACCAGCTTACCAAGGAAGAATTAGATCACATCGCTTACGTACTGAAGGTAGCGGAAGAGTCTTCATTTGGAACGCCGGCACTAAAACGAGTTTCCACATTCGATCTCCGCGAAGTCGTTGGAAATGCGCACTTACCAATAGATGATGTCATCAATCGGGTACAGACTGTTAGAAGAAGTTTAAATGGTGAGGAAAATTCGGAACTTTTGCCAGTTGCTGACCCAAATTCAACCTCCAATCGTACCTTGTCTTCGGAAGGAACTCATTTCTTCGGTTGGGCATCCGTGGGAGTTGATGACAATGCGTTTAAACATTCTAAAGCAGACTTCAAAGGGAATAAAATTTTACCACTTGCAGAAGTTTCCTCATCTGAACAGCTAACCGAAAAGGAATTAGAACAATTATCTTATAAAGAATTACATCATTCCTTGAACATAAAAGAATCGGCCAATCAGTCAACATCTAAAATTACAACGCAACAGAAGCCATCGGAGCTAGATCATAAAGGGAAAAGAGCTTTCGAAGAGTCGTCTGCAGAAGCAGATAAGGCTACACACCTTACTCAAAAAGAGCCACATCACATTGCATATATTCCTTTGGCAGAAGAATTTTCAGTAGCGGTGCCGGGACTTCTAGAAGTTTCTCTTCCAGAAAAACCGGAGGGCAAAACTGATGTCAAACCAAAAGCTGTTGATGACGCTGCAGCGGAATTGTCCCCAGAAATAACAATGGCCAGCCAGCTTACTCAAAAGGAGCTGGATCATATTGCATACGTTCAGAAGTTGGCGGAAGAATCTTTTCT